AAATGTCTGTAGAAGAAGAGTCTACATGCCCGAGAGGGTTTCAAAGCTGTCTGAATTCAATACTGTAATGGTAGAGCACTTCTGGACAAGCATTGGAATAGGGTGAAACAGGCAGGGGGGGTAAGGGTGTATAATCACTTGAATACAAATTGCTGGAACTGTGAAGCCAAGTGCTCACTTATGTTGCCCTCAAAACCATCAAGAGCTGGGGTATACAGGAGGCCATTGGGCCACAGTTTCCAAACAATCATCGAGGAATGTGGTCCAGGGACTCAGCAGCTACAAAGACCAGGAGGGAAGGAGGAAGTGACTGGCATAAAGGAACTAAAGGGCGGGCAAGAGGAAGGTGGGGAGAGAAAAGCAGCAATGGATGGATCACCTCCAAAGCCTGCAGGGTAGATGGTGTTCTTGGGGGCAACACATGCTATGCCTCTTGGGTGGCACAGGAACCGATGTGCAGCATGGAGGGCAGCCTCTCAGGAAACCCTGAGAATAAAGCTTCCATAAAGATAAGCCATCCCTCAATGTAGAAGGCTAATTATACCCTTCTCTTCATTCTCACATCCCAGAGATGGAAATCTCCTGAGCAGCAGGAAATGGATCCTAGTTCTAACCTGGGAAACTATGAAACCTAGTACTTCTGGAAGCCTCCATGCAGCCCCTGCCATAATCAATAAAGAAACCCCTCTGGCTGTGCAAGTAAACTTCTGGGGAAGCACTGTCCACCATCGTGTGAAAAGAGTTCTGTGTGCAAGATGCCCCGGGAGGGAGTATATGAGGTCTAACATTAGGGAACAATCCAACAATCACAGGTCCCTAAAGGGGGCCTACTATCATTTCCAAAATCCCTTGCTTCCAACTAACTCAAAACTAAATGTACTCAAGGGCTCTTGGATACTGCAGCTGATTTGTAAAATGGTGCACCTGATGCTGTGGAAGACAGTATGGCTGCTCTAAAAATGTAAACAGAACTGTCCGACAATCCAGTAATTCTATTTCTGAATAGACACCCAGAAGAAGTGAAACAGAAAGTCTGAAAGAGGATTTTTGTTCCTTCATTTCTTGCATTTCCTCCCACAAACTAAGCATGTACTCAACTACCCCTGCCCAATTTTCTTGTGTTTTTTTGAGACAGGGTTTCTCTGTGTAGTTTTGTAGATCAGGCTGGCCTCAAACTCGCAGAGATCTGCCTGCCTCTGCCTTCCCAGTGCTGGAATTAAAGGCATGTGCCACCACCGCCCGGTCTCTCAACTAGCCCTTTTAAAGGGAGGTAGGTGTGTGTGTGTGTGTGTGTGTGTGTGTGTGTGTGTGTGTGTGTGTATTTATGGGAACATTAGTCTCTAGAGCGCAGGGGTGACAGCAATGCTGCTATGTCTAATGTTTCCTGGTATTAGAATCCAGGGTCCATTTGCTGCTGCTGACGAGATTTCTGGGGCCTGGATATAGAGAAGAAAAATGTAGCTAGGCTCTACCACTGACAGCATAGCCTGTCCCTATGAAATATGCACCACCCATAGGCTTTTCTGAGAGGCTGTCTTCCATTCTGCCCATTCGTATTACCGACAGAATGGATAAGCAAAATATAGTATGTACATAGAACAAAATCCTTCAGCCTTAAAAAACAGTAAATTAAGACACATGCTATAAAATTAACTTTAGGGACATTGTAATGTTAAGTTAATAATCCAGTCACAAAAAGACAAGTGATAGACATCACCTGCATGAATTACCTAGAACAGTCAAGGTCAGAGAAAGGGGAGTACTTGTTTAATGGGGAATTGCTGTTTAATAGGTACAGACTTTCAGTTTTGTTAGATGAAAAAAAAATTAAATTGACTGTACACCACAGCAAATATACTTACTCAACACTACTAAACAATAACTAAAATGTGGTTCAGATAAAGGGCTGGAAAACTAGCTCAGATGGTAGAACACTTGTCTGGCATGCCTGAAGCCCTGGGTTCAAGCCCCAGCACTGGATAAACGAGGTACAGTGGCATATCCGATTCAAAGACTCCTGCCCTACAGATGGGACTCAAGTGAAATGACTCCACTAGCCACCACTCACTCACCTACTAGAGTCACAGACTGTCCTAGATGAGGATATGAACTAAACCAAGCACCTGTTCTTCAAGCATTTTCACACTGGTGAATAAACTCTTTTAAAAAAAATCAGGGCCGCCGGGCGGTGGTGGCACATGCCTTTAATCCCAGCACTCGGGAGGCAGAGGCAGGCGGATCTCTGTGAGTTCGAGGCCGGGCTGGACCGACAGCCTCCAAAACAATACAGAGAAACCCTGTCTTGTAAAAACCAAAAAAAAAAAAAAAAAAAAAAAAAAAAAATCTGGGCCACGAGGGCTCAGCTTTGTAAAGACACTTAATTCCAGCCTGATGACCTGAGTTCAAATCCCCACATCCCATGTGGTGGAAAGGAGAGAACCAACCACTACAAGTTGTCCTCTGACCTCCCCACGTGTGCTGTGTCTCTTGCATGCACACACAGGCACGCACATACACACACAAAATGTAAAACCAAAAATTCCATGTTTTGGCACAAAGAGTTTACCTGTTGGGCTTTTTGTTTTGAGTGAGGAAGGTAGGGAGGCTTTTCAAGACAGGGTTTCTCTGTGTAGCCCTGGCTGTCCTGGAACTCACTCTGTAGACCAGGCTGGCCCCGAACTCAGAGATCCCCTGCCTCTGCTAGGATAAAAGGCATGTGCTACGCTTACAAAACCACTTAGTTATTTAACCTGAATTCTCTGTCCCTCGGCTTCCACATCAGTAAGTTGGAACAAATCATGATCCTGATTCTATGTGGTGGGATATTTAAGAAGCTATATGGTGGGCTGGAGAGATGGCTCAGAGGTTAAGAGCACTGACTATTCTTCCAGAGGACCTGAGTTCAATTCCCAGCAACCACATGGTGGCTCTCAACCACCTTGAATGAGATCTGGTGCCCTCCACTGACATGCAGGCAGAAGACTGTATACACAATAAATAAATAAATAAAATATTTAAAAAAAGAATCTATATAGTATTTAGCACAGTGTCCTTCTTATAAGAAAGTCTTATTTGTTAGCAACTTAGGACATACGTATCATCTCCAGCAAGGCTTAACATTTCTAACCGTTTCTATGAGTTCAACACAGGTAATGGGAAGTTAGCTACTTCTATGACACACACATATTTTTTTTTTTTTTACGAGACAGGGTTTCTCTGTATTGTTTCGGAGGCTGTCGGTCCAGCCCAGCCTCGAACTCACAGAGATCCGCCTGCCTCTGCCTCCCGAGTGCTGGGCTTAAAGGCGTGCGCCACCACCGCCCGGCGACACACACATTTTTTGAAACATTATGTATCCATGAAGCTAAGACTTCATATAACAAATAGGAGGAGCTCTATTGCAAAAAGGTCATTGTCTTCTATGCTCTGATTTAAAAGTATTTTAAAAAAACAGTTAATATTTTATTATTTTTTAGTTTTTTATTATGTATTTTGGGACAGAGTCTCACCTTACCCAGGGTGGCAACCAATGTATAGCCAAAGCTGGTTATATACATGCATATGTACATAGTAACATGATTACAGTAGTGTATTGTTGACTTTCTTTCTAAGATAGTACAAACTGATCCTAACCCTGATCCTCCTGCCTCCACCTCCCAAGTGCTTGGGTAATAGGTGTGACACCACACTCTGCTCATTAGTATTTTCAATGGGTGAAATCATTAATAGTTCCTATTGATTTCAACTAAGTTTTTCATTTTTCATATTGTACATGGGTCTATGAGGAATTATGGATAAACAAATGCAACAGATCTCTAAAAATTATACATATCACATTGTGAACAACAAAATTTCATTTAAGCTGGGCGGTGGTGGCGCAGGCCTTCAATCCCAGCACTCAGGAGGCAGAGGCAGGCAGATCTCTGTGAGTTTGAGACCAGCCTGGTTTACAAGAACTCGTTCCAGGACAGCCTCCAAAGTCACAGAGAAACCCTGTTTCAAAAAACCAAAAAAAAAAAAAAATTCATTTAAAAGTCTGGCTGTGAGAATGGTAAATAATTTCACTAGCAGAATCAATGTCTTCTATTGAAATAAGACACAAATGCAATGTCTTTGTGATCTGCAGGTGCATCGATAAAATAGTCTTTACAATTTTGCAACTAGTTGGGCAACTATCAGGTTTTGTTTATTTCGGTGTTGTTGTTTTGAGACAGGGTCTTACTATGTTGCCATGGCTGGCCTGAACTGACTATGTAGACCAGGCTGGCCTGCATCTCACCGAGATGCATCTGCCCCTGCCTCGAGAGTGCTGGAATTAGAAGCATGGGACATCATAGGCTGGACAACTATTTAGGCACTGGTCTAAATATGCATGAGAAATAAAGAGATACTCTTAACCCTCAAGGAGCTCAGCAGAAGAAACCCATATGTGCCCTCATTTGCCACATATAAGACTCTACAACTGAACCCTGTAAGGCACAAAGAATTCTACTGTAGGAAGACCAGGGAGGTCCTGAAGACCAGCAATAATTCTTCCGTGTGATAAAGAGGGAAATACTAATGCCCTCAAAAGGGATTATAGGGTTATGAAAACATAGAAAGCCATGAAGTTGCATGATGGGATGTCTTGCAATTCTGTGTGGCTGCAACACGATTTGAGGATGGTTGAGATCAAACTGGAAGCCACTCAGGGAGACAAATAGAGGCTGACCAACTGATGTATGTTCCACAAGCACTTTGTACTTTATCTTAGAAAGACAGTCAACCACTGTAATCACTTTACTAGCTTAGACTGCTCAGGGCTCTCCAACTTCAGTGAGTTGCCAATGCCTAGGGTTCCTCATTAATAGTGGCCCAAGGCTGAATGGCTATTCACCCCCTTCTCTCAGCTTTGGTCAGCACTGTCACCCTGCCCGCTGTGGGGATCCCGCCCTCCTCTGAGAGCCCCTGTGGTCTGACTTCAGCAGCAGTTTCCGGAAGGAGACTGGCACTCGCTGTCGCCGCAGGCGGCGGCCCTCATCGTGATCTGAGCATCCTTCCGGAGGCCGACAGACCTCGGTATTGGGGTGCTTTCAGACCCTGCCTCCGTTGGAGCAGAGGAAGGGCCAGATTGCTGAGCCTAAGCAACTGTGCGTCAAGTGGCAGACGTTCTGGCGAGCCGCCGGAGGGGCGGACGCCAGCACCCGTAGTGACGGGAGCCGAGCGCCGCTGGCTCCGCCGGGGGAGGTTCAAACCAGCCAACAAACACGGTAAGCTGAGAAGTGGGCGAGAAGGTGGGGCGGCGGGCGGCTCACCGGTAAAAGGCTGAGTCCCCGAGTGGATTCCAATTCGCAGTGTAACAGTCCATGTCTGGCACAGCTGGCGGATAGAGGCGCCGAGGAAACACCCTCCTGGCGCAAACTCCAGGCCGCACTTCCGCTTCCGCCCGTTGGGGTCACGTGGAGAGGCCACCATAGCGGCCATCAGCACTGTGGGCAAAGCGCACTAAGCTGTCGTTCTGTCCTCTGCTCTTACCCGGGCTTACGCTCGCCCGATTGGGGCTTGCCCTGATTCCTATCCTTCACGACAGCCAGCCTAGCTGTCTTTCTGACCTCTCCGACGTTGGGAGTCGCGCAGGGAGGGACATGGGTGACCGGAAGTGGGAGCCATGAGTCTCTCCTGGAACTCAGATGCTGGAGGCGTTGGCTGGACCACCGGGACGCACGCATGGAGAGCACTGGGCGTCGAGCTGCGCACCTACAGCTAACCTGGGCACCCGGGCACTGTAGGCCAGGGTCTTTGCAAGAACCTACTGCCCTCAAGGGGCGCGGGAACATGACTCTAGATCAGGAGCCCGCTGCGGGCAAGGCGCGCGGCGCCAGTGCCTGCCCTACTGGCCCGTGAATCCCTGGAGCCGGGAAACTTGGTAACTGGCGCGAGCGGACGTGTGCGCACGCACGGGGCCACCGCTGACACGTGGCTGGGAGCAAGGGAATTGCTGTGCGCGCGAAGCGCCATAGTGTACGCCCTTGGCCCAAGCGACCCTCCCAGTGTGATGAAGGCTGGTGCTATCATGGGATGTGCCATGCGGCCCTACTCTCCTCCCTATTACTCGGAGCAGCCAGGGAGGGGCCAATGTGCATCTGTCGAGGGACAGACTGACCTACCTTGAGTCCTTGCCCTCTATCAGCTTAGTGGCCTCTTCCTGCAGCCGGTGTCAGTGGCAGCATGGTCTTCTGTTTGGAAAACGAGATGCCACACCGCCTGCTGCGAAGCACCATGGTCCACTTCCAAGCCTCCGAGGTCCAGCAGCTGCTACACAACAAGTTCGTGGTCATTTTGGGGGACTCCAGTGAGTGACCACTCTAGGATGACATTTCACAGCCCTATATCTGCAACCTTTATGTGTACACCCCGTATCTCCATTTCAGTCTTTTCTCCATCTTTTATTCTGTTTCAGGACACTAGACTGTTGTTGATTGGTTTGGTTTTGTTTTGTTTTTCCTATATACCTATATCATTTGTACAGTATTTTAGCCCATGCTTGTAGCATCTTTATCTCTTGTAGGCCTCCACGGTTTTTCTAAAAAGGAGCTGTGGGTTATGTTGTGTGTTTCCCTGATGACGAGGCCAACTTAACTGTGCTAGTTGGTCTTGGGTCACTGTAGCCAAGACAGATAGAGGACAGGCATATGACTAGAAAGGACCCGAGCCAGGGTTTGCAAACCCTATCTTTACTTTCCTTTAAGTCAACCTTCTGTAGAGCTGCTGTTGGGCAGCCAAACCCTGGGAAACAAAAGGCCTTCATTTGGGAGGCTCTGGGAGGGGATGAGGCCTGTCTTAACCTTAGGGTCCCTGTCTCCCTGCAGTCCAGAGAGCTGTGTATAAGGACCTGGTGCTTCTGCTCCAGAAAGACACGCTACTCACAGCTTCCCAGTTAAAAGCCAAGGTGAGAGAAGCTTGGCAGCCATGCCAGTGTTGGGTGGGTGCAGACCCTAACCTGAAAAGGACCACTTGCCTGGCATGGATCTGACCGTCGGGGTGGGGGTGGGTGGGTAGGGGGAGCTGAGCTTTGAACAGGATCAGCTGGTGGCTGGGGGCCAGCTGGGCGAGCTCCACAACGGGACACAGTACCGAGAGGTCCGCCAGTTCTGCTCTGGTTCTGGCCACCACCTTGTGCGCTTCTACTTCCTCACCCGTGTTTACTCCGAGTACCTCGAGGACGTCCTGAAGGAGCTGTCATATGGACCTGCCCCTGACCTAGTGATCATCAACTCCTGCCTCTGGGATCTCTCCAGGTTCAGGCGGGGGAGAGGGAAATACTGGTTGGAGGTGGAGGTATGGTGCCATTCCTGTGCTCTTGCCCACCCTAAGTGTTACCCAGCAGATATGGCCGCTGCCCAATGGAGAGCTACAGAGAGAACTTGGAACGAGTGTTTGTACGAATGGACCAGGTTTTGCCAGACTCTTGTCTGCTGGTGTGGAACATGGCAATGCCTTTGGGAGAACGTGTCACTGGGGGTTTCCTCCTGCCAGAGGTAAGTAATTGGGCCCTTCTGGACAGGGGATAGAGTGGCCGGTAGATAGGAGACCATCTTAGAGGCTCCACTTTCTCAATTAGCTCCAGCCTCTGGCAGTCTCTCTGCGACAGGATGTGGTTGAGGGGAACTTCTACAGTGCTACACTAGCTGGGAACCACTGTTTCGACGTCCTAGATCTCCACTTTCATTTCCGGCATGCTGTACGTCACCGTCATCGAGATGGTGTCCATTGGGACCAGCATGCACACCGCCACCTCTCACACTTACTTCTGACCCATGTGGCTGATGCCTGGGGTGTAGAGCTACCCAAACATGACCCTCTCCCAGGTAAGACCTGCCACAGATTGGGTGGGTAGTGATGTAGATAGAATCTTTAGCACAAGGCACAAAGAACCAAATGCAACAGGGGTACTTATAGAAAGTATAGCATTATCCCTTGAAAAATAGTTGTGGTAGGCTTGGTGGTGGTGGCCACACACCTTTAATCCCAGCACTCGGGAGGCAGAGGCAGGCGGATCTGTAAGTTTGAGGCCAGTCTGGTCTACAGAGCGAGTTCCAGGACAGGCTCCAAAGCTGCAGAGAAACCCTGTCTCCCAAAAAAAAGAAAAAAGAAAAAAAAAATAGTCGTGGCTCCTGAGTGTTCCTTCTCACCCTCTGGGAATGGTTAGATCACAGGAGTCACATGACTGTTCAGCTTCCAGTTCTAAAGCTGTGTGACTGACTCTTCTGTGCACTTGAATGAAAATGTGCAAGTGCCGATTACAAAAGGCAGGGTCAAAAGACCCAGTCAACAGGTGAATGGAAAAGAAATGAAAATGCCTCTAGGTAGTGTCAGGTGTATAGGAAGTGGGATGGTCCAGGCAATGTTGCAGAGGCAGGAAAGCTGGAGAAGTGAAAAGGTTCAACCAGCTACAGGTTGTTGAGCAGAGACAATGTAACCTACAGTGTCTTTGCAAGTGGATCTCAAGGTGGCAGGGTTAGTAGACAGCTCATAGGCTCCTCAGCTCTGCCTTAGGGTCCCAGTCTCACTGGTTCCAGCCTCGTTCTGTTCTCCACTGGCCCCATCCTCGTCACTGCTGAGAACCCCATTCCTCCAGCTTGTTTTTGGGACACTAATTGCATTGCTGCTGAGATGTTCTCTGCTACAGGTCTTGTGTTTGTTTGTTAGTCTCTCAGTCCCTGTCTGCCTGCAAAGGAAACATCATGGTTTATTTCTACATCTGCTTCTCCCCTGCATCGGGTCACTTGTTGATAGCCCAGTGCCAACACAGATGTGCTGTACTTCAGTGCCAAGAGCACAGTGTTTGATGAATTGGAAGCCTGAGTCATCTTACACGCTGTTTGTTGCAGCAATAGAAGCTGTGGGGGACATAGAAAGGCCAGGAATAGAGGAAGACCGCTAGAGCATAGTAGCTAAGAGCTGGAACTTCAGGAAGATAGATTCAGATGGATTATGTACTGGCTCCATTTCCTTTGTTTTGCTTAATGAGAGAATAAAGGACTGGTTTAAAGGTTGTAAGACTAGTTTGTGGTGCTTCACAGCTTCTGATTCCATCTAAGAACTATGGAAACAGCTGGAGATGTGGCTCAGTTGGTAGAGTGCTTGAAGTTGATAGCATGCTTGAAGCCTTGGGTTCAATCTCTAGCACCATATGCAGCCAGGTATGGTGGTGCATACTTGTAATGTTAGCATTTGGGAAATGGAAGTTAGAGGGTCAGCAGTTCAAGTTCATCCTTAGCAACCAAGTGGTTTAAGTCCAGCCTGGAAGATATGAGACTTTGTCTCAAGGGGAAAAAAAGGAAGTTAAGGTTGTTAAAAGACTTGATTTGAAGTGGGAAGATGAACAAGTTGATTAGGGCAGATCTGTTTGACACTTGTGGAGAGACTTGGAGTCATCAGTACCCAGCAAAGATATAGGAGTGTGAACTAGGAAGGAGACAGCAGAACAGAGCTCACACTTTGGATCGTCAGAGAACATATTGATGGTGAAACAGTAGTGGTTGAGAATAGAGGTGCTTTCAGGACACGGTGTATTGATGTGACTGTTGGAAAGAAGGGGTTAAGTTTGTCAGGCAGTTCCGTTTAGTAGGAAAAGCATCGAAAGCATGAAGAGTTCAAAAGAGGTAATACACAGTTGGTAAGGGATAAGAAACAGGGTAGAATACTCCCTGTGATGGTTTAGAAGCAAATGGGGACTAGTTGGGAGGGGGAGTTGTATCTTTATATTTGACTAATTTATTGGTCCATGAGCACAGGACGACTTAGGAAGAAAAGGGGCTAAAGATACAGGTACTGGGCAGGAGCAGGCATGAAGTCAGAACACAGGCAGACATGAGTAGCAAGAAAAAAGGAACACAGCTTGGTCTTGGCTTGCAGTGAAGGGGAATGATGAAGGCTGTTGGCCTTATTCGCCAAGAGGATGGAGTAGAGCTCTGGATAACCAGCATTTGGGGGCAACCTGGCTTTCCAGACCTATTTAACACAATCATCCCATTCCTAGACCCATGGATTGAAGACTGGCCAGAGATGGATCATTCATTCCAGGGAAGCCATAAGCAGCCCCCAGACTTCAGGGAGAAAACGGCCTTGCCCCTACTCCCACCTTTCCATTTGCCTCCTCCCACGTCTTTTCCTTACCCACTTCTTCAGCCCTCACCGCCTCCCTTGTTCCCACCCCTGCACCAGAATGCCCCCTTTTTCCAAGGCCAGCCCTTTCCACCCTATGAATTCTTCAAACACAATGCAACGGAGGACTTCTCGATGCCATCTAACGTAGGTAGGTGCCTTTGTAGCCTCTGCCCACACCTGTGTTCACGCGAGCTTGGGAGTTGGGTTTAGTCACAGTAGTTAGTCCCTCAGATTGGAGCAGCATCCATAAACTCATTAATCTGCTCACAGTTCCTGGTCTGTTGGTAAGGGAAGTAGAATCCCCATTTTGCAGATGGGAAATGAAAGCCCAGAGAAACTTACCCCAGAGGAGCAGAGCTATCTGGTCAGAAACTTACTGTGATAATGACTGCTTTTTTTGTAGGATATGGCCCTGGAATGAACTTTGTACCTGGCCCCCTGCCACCATCAGTCTCTGGCCCTGTCTCCCATGGTCAACACCGGGGTCCTGTGGTCCACCGGGGCAAGCCACGATGTGTTCCCAACAACCCCTACCATGTACCAAGGATTGGGGGGACATGTAGGCAGCGACTCAGACACTCAGACAGACTGATCCACACATATAAACAGGACAGACGGGGACATTCCCATTCGGGGACATGGCCTGGATAGACAGGATCTTAGGTTGGGACTAGAAGTGCCAATGACCCTGAAGGGTCTGCCTGATACCTTAGCTGTTGGGCCTGGGTATTCTTGTCCATTGCTGATATCAATAAAAGCATGGAAGGACAGAGTGACATTCCTGTGTGAGAGAGTGGGCCTCCCAAACCATGGCCTTAAGGGTTGGGGAAGCTGCCTCTTGAGTGTTTGTGCAAACTTTTTAGAAATCAATGAAAAACACTCTTCTAACACAGTTCTATGTCCACAACAACACACTAAATAAAGATCCCAGTGTGTCCCTTGTTTTTAGCAGGTCTTTGAAACTGAACAAAAAAGTCAAGGACTGAGTTAAACTGTCAGTATTTTAGGTGGGATTTTGGATTTGGCTAATTCTAACTTTCCCTCCCAGTTGTATACAGTCATATTTATGCTTGGTAGTCATCTCTTCATGGAGGTAAGAAGACACAACCTTAGCATGCATTCTTGGCACATAACATGCATTCAGTAAGTTGTTAGCACCTAAGTGAGAAGCTCCCAAATGCACACAGAAGACAAATTAGGATGCCTTTATTTACTTGATATGGTATGCAGTGAGAGCAAAGCAAACACTGACCAACCTTTGTTGGTAGTTAGGAAAAACAAGAGCTGACCAAGAAGACATCCAAGGTCATTGCAGGACGGGGTGGTGGCAGAGATGCTGTGTTAAACTGGTCACAAAAGCAGAAATTCAAGGCCTCAACTTTGAAATAAGGGAGGGAAGGGGCTGCAGTGTGACAGTGATAATGGGGCATAAAGTGGGGTACAGAAGGACCATTAAATTTGAACTAGAAACAGAGTCCTTGGATTCATTTCTGTTCTTGTTAATGAAACCTTTAAAAAAGGAGCAACCTCTCACCCAAAAGAAGACAAAAATTGATGGGAAAAATGTTGGTCTTGGTAAAGGACATGGTTAGCACACTGGTGCTAAGGAAACCGTCACAACGTGAGTTAAACCCTGTAGAGGAGCCAGCGACTGCAGAGGCACCAACACAGTGCCTAAGACAAACTCTGAATTCCTTTCTTGTGAACAAGACTAAAGGGAGGCATGAAAAGCTTTTTGGGTTGTTTTTATAGCGATGAGAATGATAATCTTCCTTGCAAAAATGTTTTTTTTTCCTTTTCATCATCAAATACTTGTAGAGCAGCCTTCTCCAGCTGCACTTTGTCCGGTCCCTTGTCTCTTTCTGAATGTCTATCCAGAGCCTTTTGTATCTTTGATTCTCTGGTGTTGCTGGAGAAAACTGAGTTTTCCAGCTTCATGGGCCTTCTCTGTTGCTGGCTCCTGTTCCCCATAGTTCTGTCACCTTTCCTACTGAGCCTTCCTCGCCTTTTTTACTTGTTTCTCAAATTCTGAACTTGAGAACTCCCGATTCTAGAACTCACACTCTATGAGAAATCTCATGACAGGTATGCTTAATATTGTCTTCATTTTTCCTCTGTGTTCTTAATTTCTACCCCATTTACTCTGACTTCCCATGCCCCAACAGTTGTTTTTTTTTTAATTATCTTAAATTCCTTTTAAAGTTTTCTGAAATAAGGTACTCTTACACTTTAAAATCTATCCTAAAAATAGAATAAGGAGATTTTATTTTTGGTTGCCATATCATTGAAAAGTTAAGAAACAACCTTATATTTGTTATCACTTACATTTCAGTTATTTCCTGGACTTTTGTTTTGAGGTATAAAAATGATTAAAAACTTAAGTTGTACCAATTTAAAGGCCCACGACTATCAGCTAATCAGGACAGAACTCAGTTCTCATTGTCTCCAAACTGTTGGTTCAGCCTCACTCACAGAACCATGGTTTTCAAAGGATAGGTCCAATATTCCACTCAAAGATACTACTGAAAGCAGGGGAAGGACTGTTTAACTCTCATGTCTCTCTCCTCTCTCTCTCTCTCTCTCTCTCTCTCTCTCTCTCTCTCTCTCTCTCTCTCTCTCTCTCTCTCTCTCTCTCTCTCTCTCTCTCTCTGTGTATGTGTGTGTATGTGTGTGTGTGTAAGTGTGTGCACACGCACAGGCACGAATACACGCATGCACACACTTGAGTGCACAGGTAGTGGTCTGAGAGATATGAGATCACCTGGAGTTACAGGCAGTTTGTGACCTGCCTAATGTGAGTGCTTGGAATCGAACTATCTCAAAGTTCTTTTAAGAAAACTAAACTACCAACCAGTTTTTTTCCCTAGAGAATCTGATGAACTGAAAGTTTTCCAACAAAAGTGGATAGCCACCTTCTTGTGGAGTGTATATACAACATCATGTTGAAATGCATCCAGACATAAAATAGTGAAAGTGTATCCTTTCTCGCCACCAAGAAATAGATGTTTAAAAAATCTTTATTGGATGTGACTGACATATTTAAAGTGTACAGTTTGGTAAGTATATCTCTGAAATCGTTGTCACCATCAGGATAACCAACCTATTTTATAATTTCTTTCTCTTTTTCCTGCCTACAGCTTCCTCATATTTCACCACTTTAGTCCCCAAGGAATCATTGGTACCAATCTGCTAGAATTTTTATATAAATAAAACCATTTGATAGGCATTGTTTTTTAAATTTATTTTTAAAAATGTTTTCATTTTACATACCAACCCCAGTTCCTCCTCTTCCCCCTTCTCCTGCCCCCCCCTTCCTCTTCCCATCCACTCCTGCGAGGGGCCTTCCTTGGGGAGTCCACAAAGTCTGGCATGCCAAGTTGATCACACACCACTACCACCACCCCACTCCTGTGCCTCACCCATATCAGGGCTGAGCAGAGTGTCCCGCCATAGGGAATGGGCTCCAAAAAGCCAGCTCATGCCCCTGGATTAGGTTCTGGTGTAACTGCCAATACGCACCTCCATTCCACTCCTGCTGCCGTGGCCAATAGATCAAATCACCTAACTGTCATCCACATTCAGATGGTCTAGTTTGGCCCATGCAGGTTCTCCCATTGTCAGTTCATAGTCTGTGAGCTCCAACGAGCTCAGGTCAGCTGTCTCTATGGTTTTTCTCGTCATGGTCTTGACCATCCCCCCATCCCCCCTATCCCCCCCCCGCTTGTTCATATGATCGCTCCTCCTGCTCTTCAACTGAACTCCAGGAGTTCAACCCAGTGCTTGGCTGTGGGTCACAGCATCTTCTTCCATTTGTTAGGTTCTATGATGACAATTAGGGCAGTCACTAATCTGATTACAGGGGAAGGCATCTTCAGACACCCTCTCCATTATTGTTAGGAGTCTTAGCTGGGGTCATCCTTGTGGATTCCTGAGACTTTCTCTAGCACCAGGTTTCTCCCTAACCCATAATGGCTCCCTCTATCAAGATATCTCTCTTTTATTAGTCTCCCCCTCCGTTCCTCCCCCAACTCAGTCTTCTTGATCCCTCATGTTCCCATCCCCCATCTCCTCCCTCCATCCCACCTCCACCCCTGACAGTTTACCCAGGAGACCTCAACTATTTTCCCCTCCTGGGTCCTCCATGTGTGTCCTCTTAGGGTCCTCCCTTCTATCTAGCTTCTCTGGGGTTGCGGACGGTAGCCTGGTTATCCTTTGCTTTACGTCTAACATCCACTTACGAGTGAGTACACACCATGTTTGTCTTTCTGAGTCTGGGTTACCTCACTTGAGATGTTTTTTTCTAGTTCCATCCACTGGCCTGCAAATTTCAAGATGTCATTGTTTTTTACCTCTGAGTAATATTCCATTGTGTAAATGTACCACATTTTCTTAGTCCATTCTTCAGTTAAGGAACATCTAGGTTGTTTCCAGGCTCTGACTATTACAAATAATGCTGATATGAACATATATGAACAAATGTGATAGGCATTTTTTTGTTGTTGTTGTTTTTTCGAGACAGGATTTCTCTGTGGCTTTGAAGGCTGTCCTGGAACTAGCTCTTGTAGACCAGGCTGGTCTCGAACTCACAGAGATCTTCCTGCCTCTGCCTCCCAAGTGCTCCTGGTGATAGGCATTCTTTTTAATTGGGCTTTTTTACTCAACTAAATTAATCTGATTTAAAAATCATTCCAATGTTTAAATTGATGTGTAAGGTTGTGTGCTTGTAAAATAGTGTAATGCCTGAAAACTGAAACAGCACTAACCACAGGAAACCACATCCACCAAACTAGATCAAACTTCTATGTGTAGTCCTTAGTTTATACAAGCAAGGATTCATGGCCATTGGGTATGGAATTGTTTTTAGTCACCTATGATTGCATTTTTTAATTAAAAACATTGTGTATGTGGGTGCAGAGGTCAACATTGGGTATCGCCCTCTATTGTTTAGTTTTGAGATGTACTTTCACTAAAACTGGAGCTCACTGATTACTTCGCTGACTTCCCTCTCACAGTTCCAGGAATCCTCTTGTCTCTGCCCTCCTACCATGCAGCCCAACCCTATACTGGGGGTATGGATGTATTCCACCATTCCTGGATTACAGTAGGTGCCAGAGGCCCAGATTCAAGTGCTTGCATGGTAAGCACTGTACCAACTGAGCCATCTCCCCAGCCCTGTTTAACTGCATCTTTATTTAACAGGAATTGTTTTTCATTTTCACCATTAAGCATAGTTTAGGTTACTATAGATTTTTGATGACTGACCTTTATCCAATTAAGAAATTTTATTTCCAGACCATGAAAGGGTAAAAAATAGCTAAATGAAGGCTAGATAAATGGTTCAATGGTTAGGAGCACTGGCTGCTCTTCACAGGACTTGGGTTCCATTCCCAGTAACCACATGGTGGCCCACGGCAGCTATAATTCCAGTCCCAGGACACCAGGCACACACATGGTACACAGATATATATACAGGCAAAGTACCCATACACATAAAATTTTAAAGTAATATAAGCAAAAACTTCCAGTTAGCATCATGTTGAAAGAAACCGAATACTTTCTCCCAAAGATCAGAAAGTATCATATCCACTTTTACCATTTCTGTTCAGTGTTAGACTGGAAGTCCTAGGTACTACACAAGAGATCTAAATAAAAGCCATAGAGAGTGGACAGCAGGAAGACTTACTGGCAGATAGCAAGATTATCTATTTAAAAAAAGTCTAAGCCGGGCGTTGGTGGCACACGCCTTTAATCCCAACACTCGGGAGGCAGA